CCTGAAGGAATGGGATGACTTTTGCCTGTTGGGGTCCTCTTGAGGGCCTCGTGTTGAGGGCCTCGTGGAACTCTGGAGGACCGCTGCGGCCCTCTTGAAACCATCTTGAGCAATCTTTGAGCGCTCTTTGGCTGTCTTGGGATCCTCCTGGGCCTCCTTGGAGCTGTCTTCAGCCGTCTTGGGAGCCTCTTGGGCCGTCTTGATCGCTCTTGGGGTTGACTTGGGCCATCTGGGGCCGAACACGGCCGAAAATTGGGGCGATTAGATCTGGGACGGGACCTGCAAGCCCTCTCACACTCGCCCTTGTTGTTTCTCCCAACTGACGGATCGCGACGCTACGCGCGCTTTTCCCATCATCCGGGGGCGCCGAGGCCAACCCCGTCACACTCCCCCTTGTAGTTCTCCCAACTAAAGGAACGCGACGCTACGCGAAATTTCCATCATCTGCCGCCCCTTGTGGCTTGCCAGAACGGTGCACGGCGTGCCAAATGCCTGGCAATTTGTTGGAAACAAAAAACTTACTCATCGTGGGGCTTCGGCCAAACCCGCCGGCCACCCGGAATATGCACCTCCCGTCGGGTTTTTCGCTTGAGATGGCTCCAAGATGGCCTCCAAGACGGCCAAGATGGCCCTAAGACAGCCCAAGATAACCGAACATAGTGGACCAGACGGCCCAAGATGCACTTACGACGGCCTAAGATGGCCTCAATACTGCCCAAGCCTCTAAGAGGATCCAGAGGACGGCCCGAAGAGGCCAAAATCATTGATTTTCGTTTGGCTTTTGAAGGATTTAGACTTTTACTCCGTTTCGGGCTTCCGACCGTCCGAGACGGCCCAAGAGGCCATCAAGATCGCGCCAAGAAGCCTCCAAGATGTCACCAGGACGGCGCAAGAGGCCTCCAAGACGGTCCCCAATAAGGGCCCCAAGACGGCCCAAGAGGCTTCCTAGACGCCTAAGATAGTCTCCAAGACGGCTAAGGTGGCCCCAAGAGAACCCGATATAGCTCCAAGATGGCCTTCAAGACGGTCCACATATGACGCCAAGACCGCCAAGATGGTCCAACAGAGCCCAAGGCAGAGCAAGAAGCGCGCAAGAGGCCCCTGAGACGGCCCAAGTGGCCTCCAAGACGTCTCCAAGAAGGCCCGAATGTGCCAACATCATTGACCTCCCTTAAAGATTCGACGGATTTTTCGGTTTGCTCATGTTGGGCTTTCCGACGGCACGGCTGGGGGAACGCATGGTCCAATAGCGTGGCCAAACTTTGCGCAAACGTTTGGTCACATAGGCGTATCCTCAATGGGCGGCGGTACACATCGTTCATTTCTAATCGTGCACATTTCTAATTGTGCTCGCTTCTAATTCTTCCTGGTCCCCTAGTGGCCAGGAAGAGGCCCAGGATGGAACAATTAGAAATGAAAGGATCTTGGCCCCCCAAAAATCAAAGAACTTCCGAATAATTAGAAGTGATCAATGTGTAATTCGCCGTAGGCGTCGTCGATACCGAATCTGACTGCTGCCCTCCTCTCTCCCCTACAAATGCCCAGTGGTGCGCTTCCGCCTCTCTACTGTGCTTTCTCAACACATACAAGATTCCACATTTCAGGATCGGTGCTTCGCCTCGTCGTTCAGGATGGCACTCTCGCCCCAACACGGGCCACACTTTTGGATCCGATCGATTTCCTGTCGTGTTTGCTGCCTTTTCTCCCGTCCTCCGCTTTCCGCCGATCCTCCTCCCCTTCTGCTCTTGTTCCTGCTCCTCCTCCTTCTCCTTCTCCTCCTCCTGCTCCTCCTTCTGCTCATCCACATCCTGCTGCTGCAGAGTCCATAGTCATTCTGGCTTAAGCCGCGCGCAACGGGCGAACCCCCGTTGGCTCGAGCTGCCGTCCATGTGCGTTCGGACTCGGTGCCGCTGGAGGAACGTTGCCGCGACGCTCGGGAGCTGCGCGGGACGCCGCTGCCCAGGTGGGGAATCGTGTGGCGAAATGGCGTTCGCGGCGTGGCCCAGCTGGCGCCCGAGTGTCCGCGGATAGACTGATGCAGCGCTTCGTCGACCAGCAGGCGCAGGCGGAGGAGCGCTATTCGGAGCTGCTGTTCATGCGGGAGTCCCTCGTCGGGAACGCCGACTTCCTGATGCGTGTCCAGGCCAGCTTTCCTGCGCTCGAGTCCATGGTCGCAGGGGAGGACCAGTCCTTCGAGGACCGGCTGAGGCGCAACGTCGCGCTGTACGCCGCTGCCGAGGGCCTCGATCTGGTGCACCGCTGCACCCATGACCTCAGCAAGGCTCGGAAAGAACCACGCCTGGGCGGCGTGGTGGCCATACTGCTGGGCCTCGTGCTGGCAACTGTGCACATGCGGTGCTGCGCTGTTCACGGGCTGCGCCCACGTGCTGCTGCCAGAGCCAGCGCCGCGGCAGGAGCGGACGACCGGGTCGGAGCCGACGGCGGGATGCAAAGATGTGACCGACACGTTCGACGGCGATATCGACGCCACGGACTCGTCCTTGTTCTCCCCGCCCCCCTCAAATGAGGCCCTCTCAACGAGGCCGCCCCCCCGACCCTGCCGTGGAGGGCGACACTGGCGGAGATCTCCCGCCCCGCGGACAGGGCCACCGACGAGGCCCCCCGAAGGCCGTCCCCCCCGACCCTGCAGCGAAGGGCGACAACGACAAAGCGCTCTCCATTCCGAGGTCGCCCCCCTGAACCTGCAGTGGAGGGCTTGAGGGGCAACGTTAGCGAGGGATAGGCCCCCAGCAGGAAAACGTCGAGCTGGAGTCGGCAATACATCGCCGATAGGGGCTTGACAGCCCACCCCGTCCCGGAACGTGCAGATTTCGCGATGGGGGTCTATCGCCGATGTATCGGCGATGCACCGCCGACTCCAGCTTGATGTTTCCCCTCCTGAGCCTATCCCCCTAACGATGCCCCTGAGGGCTCTCCATCCCGAAGTTCGGTGGTTCAAAGATCCTGAGGGACTGTCCTGGGGACCCCTATCCCTCAGGACCCATCAGGACCCAATCTTTGAACCACCGAGCGGTCGCTCTCTGACTGGTGACCTAATGGGCTGGGAGGAGGGCCTCTGGGCAGGAGGGGGGGTAGCAGCCTCCAGTTCGGTTTTTCCGAGCCGCCAGGGCCTGGACGCTGAGCAGCCGACCACGGCCGTGGCGGCGCCTTTCGGCAGCGACGGCGACGACGACGACGACGAAGACGACGACGACCGCGGAGACGACGACGCCTCCTCGAGGTCTCCCGCCCCGCGGAGGCCCCGCTCTGGGCCCCAGCGGGGGGCCCCCAGGGAGGCCTCGGAGGGACCGAGGACGCCCAAGGGCCCAGACCTCGGAACGGCGGCAACGCGCCCTCCCGCCCGACCCTGGAGGGACAAAAATCGGCATAAACATGATTTCTCGGAGGTCCGCGCGGATCTCTTAGATCGGCGCTCGGACCCCCCCAGGGGCGGCGGCAGAGGCACCGCCAAGGGGGCCCAGCGCCGATCCGAGAAATCCGCCCGACCCTTCGGCGTTGATTCGTGGGGGGTCAATTACAATTAATAAACGGGGGGGAGGGGGGGAGATACGTGCCCCTCTCGTCCCCCTTTTGATCGCCAGAGGGCCCCATTTGGGCCCCTGAGGTGCACGAGAGGTCAGCCCCCGGCACCAAGCGCGCGCAATCGCCCCCCCCCCCCCCCCTTACGTTAGGTCGGGCGTGTCCCCCTACATGGGAGAGTTTGGACGAACAATCAAACATATTCCAAAATAATCCAACATGGTCAAAAACTACTAGAAAAATAGTCCCCATATTATTTGACTATTTTTGAATATCTGAAGATTTTCTTAAGGTGGAGAGCTCAAGCTTGAAATTCGTATGGGCTTTTGCACCTCGAAAATCAATCCGTCTTGTGATTCACCTTTTGCAGATTCGAGCCTTGAACATCCATCGAAACGGCATTTCAAATGTCACCCTTTGCCCTCCACCCACAGAAAATGCTCGGAATGTCCCTCCTGTAGAGGGACAGGCCCGACTTAACCCTCACGCAGCGCCCGAGGCCCACCGCCCGCGAGGGCGCCCGGCGGGGGCCACCGGCGCCTCGCTGTGAAAGACCAGCCAGCCCGTGGCCGCGTCGCCGCCGCCCGCGCACAGCAGCCAAGACCTCTCCGACCAGCCACAACCTGGGGAGCTGTGGTCCTTACCCCCCTGGGGAAACCCATCGCGTCGACGATCTCTCGAGAGGGGTGTCGAAATCGATGGGTCCCCCAGGGGGGTAAGGACCACAGCTCCCCCAGTTGTGGCTGGCCCGCCTCTGCCCGCCAGCGTGCCAGTCCTCTGCGCGTGGGGCGCGCGCGGCCGCGCCGCTCGGCGGCGCGCGGGAGTGAGCTTCCTGCGGTCGGGAGCTGCTGCCTAGCGTGTCACAGGTGGCGGCCTTGGCGACAAAGCTATGCCCTGCGAGCGGACAGCGTGTCGCTCGGCTCCGCGGGGCAAGAGGCTGGGAGAGGCAGCCGGAGGCCGCCAGAGCTGCTCATGAGGGCGTACATCATCTGAGTGGGACTCCTTCTTTTGTGCTCCCTCCGCGGCCGCCTCTCCGCTGGATCCACTTCTACAGGCACAGCCAGTTGCTGCGCGGCCCGACGTAGCTGCTTCCCCGTCCTACGACCTGCGTAGAAGTGGAACAAATCTAAATATTCCGACATGCGCTGGTAAGGCCGCAAGCGCGCGCGCGGCTGCGAGACTTGCGTCACCCCTTCAAGCTAGCTGTTTAGTCCTACTTTGGTGCTGCCTGGGAGCTGCGCGCGAGCCTACCACGCGCTGCCCAGGAGCCGCGCGCGAGCCCCGGAAGCGTTGCCCGGGCACTGCAAGAAGAGAACCACGTGCGTGGACTCGGTAGCGCTCTGACTGCTTTGGGGCCTGGCCACGCTCTGCCGGATCATCTCTTTGGCCCGTGGAACGTGACCACTCGGGGGCGGCCAAGAGGGGGGCGTCCAAGAGGGGGGGGGTGCAAATCATGGCCGGCGGCATGTGCGCGGCCCAAGGGGGGGCCAGGGACGTAATGAAATAAGAAGAGGCGCCATGAGATCTGGGGAGACATCATGGCCCACGCCATGATATCCATCCCCCCTAGTCATCACCCCCCTCTTAGCCGCCCCCGAACCACCGTGGCAGGGGGATGCCGAGGAAGCAGCAGGGCGAGCGTGGACTCTTCACCTGGCTGGGGCCTCTCCTCCTCCAGGCGCCCTCTTGGCGGGGGGGGGGGGCCGACGGCGGGCGGGGCCAGCTTTCGCAGGGCCGGGAGAGGCCGAACAGAGCGGCCCCGCACCGAGGCTCACCAGAGATGTCAGCGGAAAGCTAGTCCGACACCGTGGCCGGGGTTCCCTCGCGCGCCCCACGCCAACCAAGAAGCTCCCAGCCGATAGCATCGGCAACTCTCCACCTCTCCACACCACGCCCCGTCGCTCTCCGTTTCCACACTTGTTGCTTCCCTTACCCCGCTGTGCAGTCCACCACCGCGCTTGCAGGGCGCTCCCCCCCGAAACATTCTTGAAATGTTTGTTTTTGTTGTTGTTTTTGTTTTTGTTGTTGTTGATGATGTTGATGTTGATGTTGTTGTTGTTGTTGTTGTTGTTGTTGTTGTTGTTGTTGTTGTTGTTGTTGTTCCCCATATCCTAAGATGGGGTTATTCCCCATATCCTAAGTATGGGGTTCTTGTTATTGGCGGACCGCGCCGGAGGAGAGAGAACACACCACTCCTCTCACTCAGACCCACTCACTCATCACTCAGACTCACTCATCACTCAGACCCCCTCATCACTCAGACTCACTCATCACTCAGACTCACTCATCACTCGGACTCAGTCATGACTCAGACTCATCACTCATCACTCAGACTCACTCATCACTCAGACTCACTCATCACTCAGACTCACTCGTACTTGTACTCATACATTCACTACACTCACTCAGGTCCACTCATCGGATGACTCACACACACACACTGATGTTGAGGATGTCTCAGGCGATTCTGTTGCTTCAGCACTCCTAAGGGGAGCGGCGGAGGGGTATTGCACTCGGCCCCTTTCGCAGGATTTTGTGGGGATGTCTCAGGCGGTTTGGCCATTTTCTCTTCCAACATGTTTCACTTTCGGAGCATATTTGGAGGATGTCTCAGGCGATTCGCTGGTTTCAGCACTCCTAAGGGGAGCGGCGGGGGGGTATTTCACGGGGCCCCTTTCGCGGGATTTTGTGGGGATGTCTCAGGCGGTTTGGCGATTTTCTCTTCCAACATGTTTCGCTTTCGGAGCAGATTTGGAGGATGTCTCAGGCGATTCGCTGGTTTCAGCACTCTAAGGGGAGCGGCGGGGGGTATTTCACTCGGCCCCTTTCGCGGGATTTTGTGGGGATGTCTCAAGCGGTTTGGCCATTTTCTCTTCCAACATGTTTCGTTTTCGGAGCAGATTTGGAGGATGTCTCAGGCGATTCGCTGGTTTCAGCACTCTAAGGGGAGCGGCGGAGGGGGTATTTCACTCGGCCCCTTTCGCGGGATTGTGTGGGGATGTCTCAGGCGGTTTGGCCATTTTCTCTTCCAACATGTTTCGCTTTCGGAGCAGATTTGGAGGACGTTCGCGCCCAGTCTGCGGGGATGTCTCAGGCGGTTTGGCCGTTTTGATGCTGGGCATCTGTCGTTTTCGGAACAGTTTTGGGAGGATGTCTCAGGCGATTTGCTGGTTTCAGCACCCCCAAATGGAGGAAAAGGAGGAGGAGGAGGAGGAGGAAGAGGAGGAGGAGGAGGAGGAAGAGGAGGAAGAAAAGGAGGAAACGAGGAGGAGGAGGAGGAGGACGAGGAGGGGGAGGAGGAGAAGGAGGACAGCATGAACACGGTAGGAGCAGAAGCAGGAAGGGGAGGATGATGCTGATGATGGTGATGAGGATGATGATGATGATGATGATGATGATGATGATGATGATGAAGATGATGATGATGATGATGATGATGATGATGATGATGATGATGATGATGATGATGATGATGATGATGAGGATGAGGAGGATGAGGAGGAGGAGGAGGACGTGGGCAACTCGAGTAGCCAGGGCCAGACGATCGAGGTCCGATGTTCCAAGGCTTTAGGTTTTACTCAAACGCTTCCGCCTCACTCTCCTTCGCTCTCCGCTCTCCTTCACTCTTCTGCATTCATACTCACTCATACTCAGACTCAGTCACACGCAGGCTCACTCGCACTTAGACTCGCTCATATCCATACTTAAACTTACTCACACTCAGACTCACGCTCAGAACCACTCATACTCAGACTCGCTCCTGCTCAGACTCATCATCCTTCGGTCCGCTCAAACGCAGACCGACTCACACTCGGACTGCCTCACATCCATACCCAATCACACTCGGCTCAATCGCACTCATATTCATTAACACACATTTTTTCTCACCCTCAGACCCACTCAAGCCCAGACTCACTCATGCTCAGACTCATCATGCTACGATCCGCTCAATCACAGACTGGCTCACACTCATATTCGTCCATACTCAGACCCACTCGCACACAGAAGCACTCGCGCTCATAGTTACTCACACGCATACCCACTCAAACCCAGGCTCAATCGCACCCAGATTAACTCACACTCAGAATCAGTCGCTCTCAGATTTGCTATTGGTCGCACTCATGCTTGCAGACTGTGGGAATGTCTCGAGCGAGCGGTTCGCCCTCGCACACAGGCGCTCATTGACAGATATCAAGAGAGAGACGTACCAAGAGAATGAGATGCACATATGGGGAGCCCCGCGTCGAGTAATTACTTGGACGCCTCCTACTCCGTCTTCCTCTTCTTCTTATTCTCCTCCCCTTTCCTCCTCATACCCAGACTTACTCATGCACAGACTTACTCACACTCAGACTTACTCATACCCAGACTTACTTACACACAAAATTACTCATACTCAGGCCTACTCATACTCAGACCTACTCATACTCAGACTTACTCATGCTGAGACTCACTCATACCCAGACTTACTCATACTCAGGCCTTCTCATGGTCTACATACAGCATTGGTTTCAGGCAGGGCGTTGGTTTCAGTATTCCTAAGAAGACTTGCCGAGGGGTATGACACGGTCCCGTTCGCGGCCGTTTTGTGGGGATGTCTCAAGCGGTTTGCTTGTTTTCTGTCCCAACATCCTTCGCTTTCGGAGCAGATTTGGAGGATGTCTCGAGCGAGGCGCTCATTTTCACGCCCCTAAGAGGAGCCGCCGAGGGGTATGACACGGTCCCGTTCGCGGCCGTTTTGTGGGGATGTCTCAAGCGGTTTGCTTGTTTTCTGTCCCAACATCCTTCGCTTTCGGAGCAGATTTGGAGGATGTCTCGAGCGAGGCGCTCATTTTCACGCCCTTAAGGGGGCCGCCGAGGGGTATGACACGGTCCCGTTCGCGGCCGTTTTGTGGGGATGTCTCAAGCGGTTTGCTTGTTTTCTGTCCCAACATCCTTCGCTTTCGGAGCAGATCTGGAAGATGTCTCGAGCGAGGCGTTCATTTTCACCCCCCAGGTGGGCCAGATTTTGAGGATGTCTCGTTCGGTTTGCTTGTTTTGGTGGCCAGACTCGTGGGATCAGGAGGCCACAGAAAGACTCAAGAGGCCACAAGATGTCCCAAGAGGCTCCAGGAGGGCCCCAGGAAGCTCCAGGAGGCCTCAGGAAGCCACAGGAGGCCCCAGGAGGCCACAGGAAGCGCCAGGAGACTTCGGAAGGCAACAGGAGGCCCCGAGAGGCCCCAGGAGCAGGAGGCCTCAGAAGGCAACAGGAGTGGCTCCAATCCCATGTGTTTTACGTATGCTCCTATAGATTGGGCCTCACCTGGAGCACGAATCCTTGACGTTATACGTATGTTTCTACAGATTGTCCTTCTCCTGTGAACGCAATCCTAAATGTTTCACTTATGTTCCTATATGTTGGGCCTCTCCTGGGGCACGAATCCTTGGTGCTTTACGTGTGTTCCCATAGATTGCCCTTCTCCTGTGGCTCCAATCCGCAATGTGTTATGTACGTTGGTTGCTATAGATTGGGCCTCTCCTGGGGCACGAAGCCTCCCTGGGAGGTCCGAGGAGGCCCCAAGAGGCTCCTGGAGGCCCCAGGAAGCCCCAGTAGGTTTCAGGAGGCACCAGGAGGCCCCAGGTTCATGCGCAGAGACGCGCTCGTACTACTGAGGCTCATTCACACTCCAATTCATTCGCAGTTAGATTCATGACCAGACCGCCACAACTGAAGCCCGTTTATACTCGAAAGCTCTTGCGCCTAGACATTCACGGCGGACAGGTCCATGCGAGTAG